TATCACTAATTAGATCAAAACTAGACTACCGCTGCGCCATATACAACACCCTAAACAACTCTCTATCTAAAAAACTTGACTCAATACAATATCAGGCTCTCAAACTAGTTACACGCACCCAACATGGCACCTCCTACACCTCACTTCAGGCCTTAACAGGAGAAATGCCACTAAGTCTACGCAGGGAACAGCTAAGCTTAAATTTCTGGGCCGCGTCCCAATCAAACCCTCTCATCCAAAACTTAATAAACCAAAACATCAGCCCCAAAAACCAAGCTCTAGCTCGTAAACACCCCTTACTTACCCCAATATCCCAAAGAATAACAAACTACCTAAATGAACACCAAATTAAAAATCTAAAACAAAACTGCAAACAATCAAATATCTTCACCCCTAAACTTAAAATACCCAAAATAGACACAACACTAGCTAGCCAAATAAATAAACAAACCGACCCAAACATAGCTAAAACTACCACACTAGCATACATACACGAAAATTGGCCAAATTGGTGTCACATTTACACGGACGGATCCTCAGTTCCGACCTCCAAACACACAGGTTTCGGAGTCCATACCACACAACCAACTAAAACCACACGATCCTTCCGACTCCCAAACAACCAATCAATATTCACGGCAGAACTAATGGGCATGGCCTCAGCCCTCCATAATCAAGAATCCAAAAAACACAAAAATATCCTAATACTTACCGACTCCCTAAGTGGACTGCAAGCCCTCCAAAACAAAAATACCAAAAACCGACCTAAATTAATAAATCAAATACTTAAAAGCTCCAACGACCTAACTAAGGCAGGCAAACAAATAACCTTCTTGTGGATACCCGCCCACGTAGGAATATACGGTAACGAAAACGCCGATAAAGCAGCTAAACTATCCCTCAAAATCCCAGAAATAAGCTTAAACTTACCCATCTCAAAATCAGAAATTAAAAGTGTAAACAAGCAAAAACTCACAAAAAAATGGCATAACCTATATCTAAACTCAAATAGCCAAATCAAAAAAGTGCTCAGCAAACCACTAACCAAACCCAAAATTCTCCATCCATCCAAAAAAATCGACAGAGTAATCACTAAACTCCAAACAGGACACACCAACCTAAATAACCACCTAAAAAAAATTAAAAAACATACTACAGGTAACTTCCCACACTGCAAACAACCAGAAACCCCAGAACACGCACTCATCCACTGCACACACTACCTAACACATCGAACCGCATTACAAACCACCTTCAATCTAAACAAGGCTCTCACTCTAGAAGCAATACTAAACCCACAAAATAAACTAGAAAACTTCAAGGCCTTAGGCGTATTCTTAATCAAAACGGAACTAATAAAACGCATCTAAAAACACAATAACCTACCAAATCAAAATCACATAAACAAACAAACATCCACCATACCCAGCTCCCTTAGTTCTCCTCCCCAATCCCATCGGCATCTATTCCAAATCTCAAAATTCCCAATTTCTATATAAGCAACCCCTAAAACCCCCCTCCTGGGTTGCACAGACCACCTTCGCCCCTTTCGGAAACACATTAAATGGCCTGGCCGGGCCCGTGTGCGAAATACGCATCAGTCGGAAAGCGCACGTTAAATCTCCAAAGTAAGTAAGTAAGTAAGATACAACCTGATGTCTTATTGGATTCTGCCTTGTAGCAAACTATGTATGTGACAAGGACTTTGACCACTCTGTGCAGATGCATAACAATGCATAATGAACTTGGGGTATGATTCAATTATGTCACACAAGTCAAAGATGGGTTCCACTGTATTTAGAAACAGACGATAGATGCAATACTGTGTTACTTTATAACAATCAAATGAGTATTCAAATAGGAATACACATATATTTACAATTACCCTTGAAAAGTTCCAAAACCAAATAGAACTACTTAAATTGGGTGGATACAGATTTTTTTAAAGGGGGGTGCACAATTAAGATCTATTTAGTGTCTTTGGTGGTAATTTATACAGAAATAAAGATTTTTTTCGAAATAAAATACCCTCTGTATCCGCCCATACTATTGCCAGTAGCCGAATTAAGGTCCCTTAAATGTAATATACATAGTTTTTAGTCGATTGTTCAGGTGGTTCTTTTCAGTTGATTTTTGTATCAGTGTCTATTTTGGCCTTCCAAATAATGGTAGATATTGAATATCAATTTTGGCGAAAATATCTGTTGTATGAAATCCTAATGTTACTTACTTTTGTATTTGAGATGATATTTGTATTTGGTAGCCTAGTGGGTAATGCGTTCTCCACAGCACTGGGTTCAGTTCCCCACATGTGTTCTGTGTGAAAAGCCCATTTCTGGTGTCCCCGCAGATATATTGCTAGAATATTGCTAAAAGCTGTGTGAAACTATACTAACTTGCTCACTCATTATATAGTATTTTGAGATCACTTACATGACTTGTGTGATTGAAAGTTCTGATAATTATGAATACTGTATTCGACGTAATAAGCGCCCAGGGCGCTCTCAAAATTTCGTGGTTTATGCTGGCAGCCTGAAATGTTTATGTACGACAAATATAATTTTCCAGAATTAAATTCCCCATAATTAAGGGTGCATATCACACACGAGTGTGTATTATACGCAAATAAATAAGTCTTGTATACATTGATCAATTGGAAAGGGTGCTTATTGGAATTGTTCACTAGCCAATATATCAGCAAATATTCCCGTGGGCCCTTATTAGAGCGAGGCGCTTATTACGGTAGTACATGTAATACGGTAGTACTGTTTTTATGTATAAGAACCTATTTTATGCAATTGAATTGCAATGTTTACCCTTCCTATATTTTGATGTAATGCAAACATTTGAGAAAAATTCCGGTGAGCCTTACGGCACTACAGGAATTGTTTTCAGAAGATCAATTCCAATTTTGTATTTTCTGTAAAATTCACTGTTTGCTATGGCTTTTTTACATTGGTTAACATGGTTTGGTTAACAGTTGCTTGATAAATTGTCATTACCTTACTCATTGAGAAACCAACTTTTTACCCTTTGTCAATATATGTGTGTTTCTTATATTTTTAATAACAAGCTTTTAAAGATGTTATAAATTGTTTCAGGTACCTGGATTTCACAATGACACCAGATCAGACAAGTCATACAAAGGACTCTCCGGATGATGAATAATCCTCCCCAGAACTAACCTCAGAAAGTGATGATTCTGAATGAATAATGCCACATCAGTGTGATTCTGTAGGTTGTTACGACATTAATCAAGTCTAAAGGAATTAATACAATGTACCACAGCAGTGAGACTATGTTTATGTGGTGTACATTGACGCTGACTATACAAATCTGAATGACTTTTGTGGTTTACTGCACAAACATAATTGACTTTAGATATTCTTCTACCTTGAAATTCTTCTGAGATTTGACTAATTTGTTTATTTAGAAAATGGCATTGAAGCATCTGTTTCTGTTTTGGAATGTTCATGCAAACACCTCTGGTTACTGAACCAATGAAATCAATAAATATGATTTTTTATCTTAAAAATATTTTTGTTTTGCTTATTTAAGAAATATGATATCGATCATTCATAACATAGGTGCTAACATATATCAAATATACTAATGCCCTGAATGTTTTCCTACAATTAATACAGCTCACTGAACGAGTTCCCTGTCAGTAGAAAAATTACATTGATATTTTTATGTACCGGTACTTCATTAGGTGTTTTCTGTGGATGCCATTAGTCTTATGCACCCATTTGGGTTAATGATATTCTGTTTCAAACTTCAATGAAACCTGTCTGTCAAGATGTAACAAGTACTGATACAGTTCCAAAATAATCTTTTAATCTCACCAGGAACAAAGGCCCAAGTGAGCACATAGCCAATGACTTTCATATTTGTGTCAGAGTGAGTATGGTGTTATGCCACTTTATGAGCAAAATTCCAACAATATCATGATGGGTGACACCAAGCAATGTAGCGATGTGGTGAATCGAACGCTTCAACCACTAGGCTAGAACAAACTGGGAATATGAAGATGAAATGTAAGGATACCATCATACCAGGACTGAATGCTTTTCATTTAATACGATGAACATCTAAAATGAAATATATATGAACTTTAAAAATGTTTTCACCAAAGATCTCAACTTTAAGGGGATATTTACAACCAAAATAACACAGAATATTACTACAGCTATCTGCTATGCCCAGGCTAACATTATTTACTAGGAGAAAGACATCTCGAAAAATTGCATCCGGATACCTGCCGGATACCTTCAGCAATGTTCAATTTTCTTGGTTAGTTTCCAATATATTTTTAGGTGTTTAACACTTAATTGAACAAAATGCACCCCCCAAATTGTGACAAGTTTTTGGAAACTCAGAATGAGGTATCCGGTGCCGGATCCCTGGACACCAAGATTGAGGTATCCGGTGAGGTATCCGGCACCGGATTCCAGGTGACACACTTTCCGGTGAGGTGTCCATGCCGGATACCACGGATCTGGTATCCGGCAAGGTATCTGCCACCGGATACCCGGACGCGTTTTGGGTAAGTGTCCGGAGGTATCCGGCAGGTATCCGGATACCGGAAACTGCATTTTTTTGCTGTGTTATATAGTGATGTATTAATATATGAATCATTTTTCCGATGTTCGGTATCGCCGCTGTTACAGTATACCATAGACGTTGTTATCCATAAACGTTTTGTTTACTTTGCTATCCATCAACTTTGTTATGACTGTCAAACAGTTCAGCAAGAAAGAGATAATAGTTCTCACTTATTGCCACATATTTAGCCCGAAACCCTTTTCCGCTAACTGAACGTAGAGTTGGTTGGAGGGAGAATGATATGCAGGAGGAGAAGGTCGCGAGGAGATGCTGGCGCCATCATGAAAATGGCGGTGAGAATTATAGACACGATAACCATTAATGAGATCAGTCACGCACACCATGTGACCAAATGCTGCAAAACAAAGCACAATCAAGGAAACCAGCAATCTCACCTGCTGCAGGATAAGCTGCTCCAGTAATGAAAAGAATGATACAAGAGGCAGTGCGAAGAGTAGACATCTTCTTAACTGAACAAAATCTTTGTTCCCTTTTGGTAGAGTTGTTGAAAGTCTTCTTTTATATAGTCTCAAACAAACCGCCCCATACCAGTTTTAGCCAACCTGAACCGCTTTGACGCAGTTTATGATTGTCCGTTCAAATCAACTGACCTTGATCGAGTTTCAAAGCTGACATGTTTCAATAATGTCTCGATGACCAATTCCAGGAAGATTCGTTATTGGACATCCGGGCCAACCTGAACGGCTCTGACGTAGTTTATGATTGGACGATTAACTCAACCGACCTTGATCCGGTTCCAATGCTGACATGTTTCAACAATGTCACCATGACCATTTTCAGGGAGTTTCATTATTGGGCTCCCGGTAAATGTTGTTCAATCCTGAGGACACCTCTTGCACGTTATTGCTAGATGTAAAGCAGATTTAACTTCTTCTTTTATATGATATACACACATATCGTCTTTTCGGCTTTCCAAATGCTTTGTAAATATATAACGTCAATGCCAGAAAATAACCAGTCTCGTTTATCAGACGAAAAAGATTCCATTGGGCCTAAAAGGCAAAATAGTGAAAATTATATTGACGGGATCACTGAAAATCAGTGATAAAACCAGGTGTTCCCCAAAAGAGTTAACATGTCCTACAATAAGCAACCGCCACTCAAACGCTTTGCAAAAGTGAATGTAACTGGCCTGATTTGTTTCTTGAATAATACATCATATCCATATATAAAATTATGTCAACACAATGATGCTGAAATGTGGTAGCTGTTTTTCTTAAAAATGTACTGTGTTCATGACATAACCGACTTCTTTCCTTCCTTTCATCCTTGGCTAAAAGCAACAAAGCCCTTTCCATATAAGGGCATACGGATGTTGTTGTCCGGATTGTCCTTGAAACGCATCCTTGTTGCTTCAAGCTATCTGTTTACTCCTTAACTCGCATTCTCTAGAAATGTGATCTATTCTTATCAAATAACAACACAATATTAAAGTCACATTTTAATTAAAATGAAAACGCTCACAATGAGAACAAGACTTGTTTGACCTTTTTGGACGAAACAAACTCGTGCTTTGCGGATACAGTTTCAAACAATGCAGATATACTAACGCTTCTCTATAGTTCGATGTTGCAGTGAGTATGATGAAGTGAAATAAGGTCACATGCGCTTTGGAGGTATACGTTTTCTAAACTGTATCCATTCAACAAGAACATGTAATCAACATGACACCTCTTATTTCAATAACCCATTTTGTTGTTGCAATCATGAAATGTATCACACCTAAAGCATAGGCATCATGCATACACACAGTAAATACACACAGCGAATGCACAACATATAACACATATCAAACATAGGAAACATACATACACACAATGAATGCACGATATATAACATATATCAAACATAGGAATCATACATACACACAATGAATGCACGATTTATAACACGTAAAATCAGGATCACAGTTATCTCGAGTCAGTGCTTATCTGGAAAGTGTCCTGGTGATCCTGTCTAAAGCTGTAAGTGATACTTCGTCCACTCGAAGTCCTTTAATTCGACATATCGTTCAAGACTATGAAATTGTTTCGCTATTATAACTGCAATTAACTGTAATCATATGTATTTAGTTATGAAATAATGTATTTAACTGAAATATATAAGCGATGTCTATAGTGATACGCTGAAACTTCTTTTTGTCTGGCTAAGCAATACGATGTATTTAAGAGTACAGTAAAGTACGGTTATAACGAACTCAAAGGGACTACTAATTTTAGTTCGTTATAACCGTAGTTCGTTATAAGCATATAAACAGCATAACTACAGCAAATAGTCGGGACCTAAAAAGTAAGTTCGTTATATCCGTCAGTTCGTTATAAGCGTGTTCGTTATAACCGTAGTTTACTGTAATATCATGATGATCACTGAGACAATGTACAATTCAGAACTTTTGTATTCCTTGTTGAATATCATGTTTATCTCATCAGGTGACCAGACAAAGTGTAAAGCATAATGAGTGATATCTTCCTTGTATCTTAGATAGTCCCTATGCCTGCAAGTTTAGGAGGCTGAATTACATATTGGGAACCTGGGTGGGTTATCAGCCATTATCACATACCTGTATAACACAACAAGGGAGGATGCTTCCTAAAGTTTGAGAACTGGAACAAATATAATAGAGTAACGCCATAAATGTGGAGAATCTCGTTCAAGACGGTGAAACTTCACTGTCCCTGATGATATCTTGTCAGCACCACTGTCTATTGTAGGAGCGACCCTTATTTCAAACTACAAAACTTCGATGTAATTCAAAACACTTTAAGGGGCACAGGAGACACAGTCGTCTGGGTATGCAATTCCCAACGCAGAGAGTGCTTCTCATATGCCTGGAAACTAAGACCGGAGATGTGAATACTGGTTCACCCTGATCTTGTGGCTAGGTTTGACAGCACCATACCTGTGCCCCTAGATGTCATCAAGTGGTAGTCGACCGAGACCTGCACAACTTGGAACTGTTCACTCTGTCACCTTTCATAATGGAGTTTCAACGTGTCAAGTTGTTCCTGAACTATTCCATCAGTTTTATACAGTTCTTGCTTTATCGCATGACTGTGAACTCTCCTGTGTATGTACACTTCTACCCACTAGCAACAATCAATCTATAACGGAGTGGTAGCAGATCTACCATTATCAAATGAGAAAATGTTTACCTTTCAAATGATTTTTTTTTTTGGTGGAGGGGGAAATATATTTGACCCGGGGGGCAATAGGGGGGTTGGCCAGGGGAAATAGGGTGAACCACATTCTTCGTATATTGATAGTTAAGGAATGGATTCCCTTGTTTGCAAATTTCAAATTCAAAAACATGCGCTCTTTTTTATGATTTAGTGGAGACTTTTCCTGTTTGACCAAACGTTTCAAAGAAATATCAATTACTATACTCTCTATTCGCTACTCTACTCTAGCGGAAGTTCCGGGGTTCGATACCCGGTCGCGTCATACCAAAAAACGTTTAAAGGTGGTACTTGTTGTTACCCTGTCTGGCGCTCGGCATTAAGGGGCTAAAACAAGGACTGGTCGGCTCGGAGTCAGTATACTGTGTCTGAGTGGGGTATTCATGTTATACTGCGGCATGGTATCTCAGTGAGCTAGCACTATAAATCGGCATCAGTCCGGACTAGTACAAGCAGCCACACAAACACACACACGTGCATGCACGTCGCTATATAAGTGCAATAATCTTGGACGCGACGTTAAACCCCATTTCACTTCACCTGTAGACCCATCCGTCAGCAAGGGTTGCTGGAGTCGTATATTGACACCGAGTACAGTCTTGTTCTTTGGAGAGGCAACAAATCTTCCAAATGAATGGTATCATTTGGCCTTCGTCCTTTCTTGTGACCATGGCTGCGTCGACGTCTTTGGGATGCCCGAGACAGGCTCAATACAGTAAACTACGGTTACAACGAACACGCTTATAACGAACTAACGGATATAACGAACTAACTTTTTAGTCCCGACTATATGCTGTAGTTATACTGTATATATGCTTATAACGAATTACGGTTATAACGAACTAATATTAGTTGTCCCTTTGAGTTCGTTATAACCGTAGTTTACTGTACATTGATATTAGCAGTTCGTTGGTTAGAAAGACTGACGTCTTTTTGTGTCATTACATCCATATGACATTGCTCACAGAAAAGTCGAATCCAATGATTTTCTTCGAACATTCTGTAAGGGCGACTGTACTTAAGGCTATAAGATGGAATGTATATTTTCTCTAATATCCTCACGTTGAAATGTTGGTAGACACAATTGGAAGTATTTCTGTTGATGACCGAACTATGATGGCTGACTGGTCGATAATTCCTGTTGTTTCTCTCCAACATAAATTAATTCACAAAAGGTATATTTAATGCCATATATGACGTTTTTAGTTTGACATGATAGGTCATCAAAAGATTTTGTGCAGTATGTTTTAGCTGTAAAAATGTGAATTCAGGATCAGTTATCAAAATAGGACAGATTGCTGCATGTTGATTGTTTCGAACGATATATGTCCTCCAACTTTACTGAACATTTTTTAATGTTTGGAAAGGAATTTTCGTTAACTAGAAGACGCCTTCATGTTGAATATAGGTCGATTTCATGATATCCCGAAGGACCAGCCGAGCACTGCAACCTAAACCATATGTTGCAGCAGTCCCGTCTGCAGCACAGTGATGCTGGGCGTCACAACTTTACCGTCTCGACCCAAACACTTCGCATTTTGTTCGTTCAACATTTGTTTTGTCAAATACTACCATGTGTTTGGTGCACCCCGCCGTGATATTGCATGGAATATTACTAAAATCGGCTGAAAACCCAACTTACCTCCTCACCCTAAACAAATGAGATAAAACCTTATCTATTGCATTGACTACATAAGATACATAACGTTCGTATCCACGTCTCAATTGATGCATACAATCACGAAGATTCACACTTCAATTTTTATTTTCAAGCCTCCAATAGAACATTCTAAGCCGCTTCCTGTTTAAGGTCTTCTGGCTCTCTTGGCTTCTCCTTAGCCCAGTCCTGTTCCTGGCCACTGCCGAACACCAGGAATATGACGTCAGAAGCAAGGACGATTCCCACTGTTATAAAGAACACTTTCTGCCACTGTTCCTGACTTTTCTGGAAATAGAAGATGACATCACAACCCTTTAATTGCGACCAAAAGATAGTTTTGGTTATGTTGGCGAACAATGAAATGACCACCATGGTCACACTTTTTATCTCCGTGTGTGTGTGTGTGTGTGTGTGTGTGTGTGGGGGGGGGGGGGGGGGGGGGGATGTGTGTGTGCATGTGTGTGAGTGAGAGTGTGTGCGTGTGAGTGAGTGTGTGGGTATGTGGGTGTATGTGGGTGTGAGTATGTGGGTGTATGTGTGAGTGTGGGTGTGGGTGTGAGTGTGTGGGTATGTGTGTGCGTGTGAGTGAGTGAGTGTGTGTGCGTGTGAGTGAGTGAGTGTGTGGGTATGTGGGTGTATGTGGGTGTGAGTATGTGGGTGTATGTGTGAGTGTGGGTGTGGGTGTGAGTGTGTGGGTATGTGTGTGCGTGTGAGTGAGTGAGTGTGTGGGTATGTGGGTGTATGTGGGTGTGAGTATGTGGGTGTATGTGTGAGTGTGGGTGTGGGTGTGAGTGTGTGGGTATGTGTGTGTGTGTGAGTGAGAGAGAGTGTGTGTGTATGTGTGCGTGAGTGAGTGAGTGAGTGTGTGGGTATGTGTGTGGGTATGTGTGTGTGGGTTTGTGTGTGTGAGTGTATGTGTGTGAGTGTGTGGGTATGTGTGTGAGTGAGTGTGTGGGTATGTGTGTGTGAGTGAGTGTGTGGGTATGTGTGTGGGTATGTGTGTGTGAGTGTATGTGTGTGAGAGTGAGTGTGTGTGTGAGTGAGTGTGTGGTTATGTGTGTGTGAGTGAGTGTGTGGGTATGTGTGTGTGTGAGTGTGTGTGGGTATGTGTGTGAATGTGTGGGTGTGTGAGTGTGTGTGTGTGTGTGAGTGAGTGTGTGGGTATGTGTGTGTGGGTATGTGTGTGTGAGTGTATGTGTGTGAGAGTGAGTGTGTGGGTATGTGTGTGAGTGAGTGTGTTGGTATTTGTGTGTGGGTATGTGTGTGTGTGGGTGGGTGTGTGGGGGTATGTGTGTGAATGTGTGGGTGTGTGAGTGTGTGGGTGTGTGTGAGTGAGTGTGTGAGTATGTGGGTATGTGGGTGTAACGTCCACCTGCCAACATACACGAACATATAGTAAGACGGTATTTTTGTCATTGGCGATCGGGTCCAACCCACCATGCACGCACGCACATGTTCGACCCGTCACTAGTTTACATGTCTTTTCGTAGGCGTATGAATGATATTTAGTGTTCCCAGACATGCATCGTACGAACTGTTCATGTTTGCTGTCTTCTGGATTATCACATTTCGGGAATGGTTCATGTTCATGAGTATAATACGTGTACCTACATCCAGCGTCATGGACGACGTTATCAGGGGGTTGATGATGGTCCCTATGATAGCAACACTCAGCGTCACTCCCATAATCTGCCCAGAGTACCTGAAATAACAACAAATCTCCACTTATATCTCCACAATAATACTTATTATCTCCACAATAATTAAGGTCCAACACGCTATGTACTTCAATTACATACTCTGCAAGAAAAGAAACGCAAAAGTAGTATAATCGTAAATTTCTGATAGAGTGTTGTCGACATCCATACAAAATTACAAAATTAATACCAAAAAAATAAATTGGTCATTTCTGCATGGATTGGAATTGATTTGTGTGGAAAGAAAGGGGTACTGCAGAACTTTGGTGAAAAGATGGAAAAAATAGCACAAACATAACCACATAAGAGACTGATGCCAAAACACACCAACATGGCATGCACGTGCGACATCATTTGTTGGTCTATAAAAACGTTGGGTTTTCATTTGCATGCCATCACAATCTAATAGCAAGTGAACAGCGAAAACATTCCTTGACTGACGGAAGCCCAACGCAACAACGCCATCGGCCGATTGCAAACAGGAGAATCATCTTCGTTTTTTCACGTAGCACAAGGCACCATTACAAGACTGTGGAACCATTATCAAACCCATGGGACAACACGTGATCTTCCCGGTCGACCATACATCACTACTAGAGCACAGGACAGATTCATACGGCTACATCACTTAGTGAAAGAACCGCCACGGCCACCTCTACAACTACGGCAATACCAGCATTGCGCAGGGTATCAGCCCACGGATGAGATTCTTCGGCCACACGTCCTTCCTATTATGCAACAAGCGAACGTCATTTTCAAACAAAACAACGCCCGACTTCACACAGCAAGACTGACAACAGCTATTTTCAGGAATCACAACATCCAGGTCCTGTCATCTCCAGATGTAAACCCAATCGAACATTTATGGGATGTACTGGATCAACTACCGCGTCAGCAACAACCACAACCCCTCCAATATCTGGTAAAAGCACTACAGGCAGAATGGGTGCACATTCCCCGAGCCACAATTCGGGATCTGATTTGTTTCCATCGGACGACGATGCAAGTAAATTTTGGACTCTAATGGTGGACATACAACAAATTGAGAACAGATAATGTGTGACAATTTTGAACAATCGATAACCATCTGTTGTTTATTTGTATGATATATAAAATATACATTAAAAATCACTTTTGCGTTTATTTTTTTGCAGAATATATGATATTAGTTACTAGTTATTTTATGTTACGTTATATGTGCTCTCGACTTTCTGTGTGGTGCTAGAATGTTTAAAGTCACAGCGATTCGCTGTGCAGAGTTGCGTCCCTCGGGCACGCCAGAAACCTATGATTGTGGGTTCGAATCCCGGTTCGCCCCAATTATGTTTCTAGGTTTGTCAGCACCATATCCGTGCTCGTGGGTTTCGCCGAAGTGGTAAACGTATGAGACCTGCATCACTTCGAGCTTTCCTCCCACATTAAGCTGACACGCCGTGATATAACTGGAATACTGTTAAAAGCGGCGTTAAACCAGACTCTCCGCGACTGACATTGTTAAGTTTCCGTGATTGGTGACCTGTGCGCTGTGACCTGTGACCTGTGCGCTGTGACCTGTGCGCTGTGCCACGTGCCCCTATCAGCTTACCACCGATGACATGCGAGCGCGGACATGGTGTTGACAGACTGTTTATTCCAATGTTACCTTGGGGCTATATCAAAGTAGTTGACCCTGAAAGACGCCATTGTGGTTGAGTGGGACGTCATCGTCAGAGTTAAAAGCGCCACTGCCAGCATTCTCTGGTCAGAATTCAGGAACCCAACTCCGATCAACATGGCTGCCGGAACCACGGAACCTGCGAAAAACAGCACGAGGTTGAACAGAAAATGTGATATCCAAAACAGTCAAGTCGTGTAGTTGACACGTTATCAGCTGAATATGTCCCTTAATTTCAAATATATCAACACAAGTCGATGAAAAAACAAACAACCAAAAACCCATTAATATCCAGAGGAATGCCAACCTTGTTGATGAGTGTTGATATGTTCGACGTCGAAAGACATCGGAGTGAGATTCTATTCATCATCCAAAATCAATCTCCCTGTTTATGAACAGTAAGAACCAGTGCCTTGAGTGTGAAAAGTAGAGTGAGGTGAAATAGGATTTAACGTCGCGTCCAAGATTATTGCACTTATATAGCGACGTGCATGTACGTGTGTGTGTTTGTGTGGCTGCTTGTACTAGTCCGGACTGATGCCGATTTATAGTGCTAGCACACAGAGATACCATGCCGCAGTTTAACATGAATACCCCACTCAGACACAGTATACTAACTCCGAGCCGAACAGTCCTTGTTTTAGCCCCTTAATGCCGGGCGCCAGACAGGGTAACAACAAGTACCATCTTTTAACGTCTTTTGGTATGACGCGGTCGGGGATCGAACCCTGGACCTACCTCTCTCCGGGCGGACGCTCTACCACTAGACCACGGAGGCGGTCGTGAAAAGTAGAGGCAATCATCAGAGTGTCATAGAGATAGGTGATGCCATAATGGTCTGCAAAGCATTGTGAAGCAGTTCATTATGATGCAATGTATCCCACCCACCCACTGATATATCCTGCGGAAGCCAGTTTGGAGTGATAAACGCAGACACGGATGTATGCCCAGTCTGAGATTAACCTATAGAAGCGCCCTTACAATCAGCAACACTTAATGGCAACACCAGCAACTGTTGTTTCCGCATACCCAGAGGTGGACACACACGCTATTGATTTGTAAATTGACATCTTGGCATGTTCATGTGTTTTATGTAATCACGCATTTTCTGAAGTCAGTATGGCAAATTAAACCATTTGAACAGTCTTTTATCTATTGCAAACCGAAATTGTTTTAGATTTGGTAATAAAACATAACTTTGCATTAAATCTTATTCAATGTCACAGGAACTTTTGTTGTTCAGTATATATCATATTTCTCCAAAGACTTTTATCCAAAGCTTGGCGGCCCGTGAAGATTCCGGGGTAGAATAGGTCTTCAGCAACACATGCTTGCCGTAAAGGTGACTATGCTTGTCGTAAAAGGCGACTAACGGGATCGGGTGGTCAGGCTCGCTGACTTGGTTGATGCATGTCATCGATCCCAATTGCGTGGATCGATGCTCATGATATTAATCACTGGATTGTCTGGTCCAGACTGGATTATTTACAGACCGCCGTCATATAGCTGGAATATTGCTGAGTGCGGCGTTAAACAACAAACCAACCAACCAACCAACCAAAGCTTGGCTAAAAAAACAATTATCGGTTCCGTGTGGGCCGCTGTCCACTTTTTTCCAAAACCAGAAACTGTTCAAGATGCGGGAAACGTAGGGTGGTAATATACTCAAACATCATCTCGTGCTTATACAGATTTACCAGATAGAGTCACTTACTGACAGCAGGACATCGCCACATGTTGTGTTACCCCATGTCCTGCTGCGCATGAACTCACCTATAGTCTGGAACAACTTCCGGGTCACGGTGGTGGACAGGTAACCCTTGATCAGCAGGTTGTCCGCAACGTAGGCAGAGAGTATGGCTCCAATAAACCGGCCGATGAAAGGAAGTGAAGACAAGCTGCCGTTCTGCACAAACATGAAACCATTCTCAGAATACGTTTGACAACTGATAGTGTTTCATAAATTATCTTCGTGTTGGGACCCGAACCTGAGCACCGTTCCACGAAGCGATCTTAGCGCTACGACTATCCTAAGCCAGTGTTAAAGGATGGGAGTTACGATCACCTTAACAGTAAGATGGCTTTGTGGAACGGGGCCCTGGGTCTTAGATTTTAGGGGCATCGCAATAAGCAATATTTCAGCAATATGGCAGGGTTGTGATGTGGTGTGTGTTTGTGTGTGCGTGCGTGCGTGCGTGCGTGCGTGCGTGTGTGCGTGCGTGTGTGTGTGCGTGCGTGTGTGTGTCGGGGTTGGGTAAGAGTACACAAGAAAATGGCTTCATACATCGTCTACGTGTGGGGACGCGAACCCGGGTCTTAGGTGTGAGGGGCTAAAGCTCTAACCACTGGGCGACCGTATCGCCCTCATGCCCCTCAGGTAATGATATTGAGGTGACGTTAAATCATGGTCAACGACAACAAATTTCTTTAAAGAACAGTTTTGTTGAAGACTTAGTATTAATCACGTTGTGTATCCACCAGGACGACCTCACCTCCTTGATACTGAACTTGAGGACATCATCCATGTACAGCGGTATGAACGTCGTCATCGACGTCAGCACCCATGCTTCAGAGAAGTGGAGTGTCACCAGCGCCCAGAACGGCGGCGATCTCACGATCTTTTTCCACGGTGCCTGGAATGGAATATATGACATCATGGTAGACCTACATTCATCATACTTGTAATTGCTGCACTGAAGGCATAAGTGAGAGGCCAGAGCAGGATATGGAGGTGTTCTACGCAAACCGACGTCTCCGTAGTTTAGTGGATAGAACGTCTGTATGGAGAGGGGGCACGGGTGGCCCAGTCGTCTGAGGCGCCGAGATTCGCTGTGCAGAGTTGCGTCCCTTGGGCACGCCAGAAACCTATGATTGTGGGTTCGAATCCCGATTCGCCCCGATTATGTTTCTAGGTTTGTCAGCACCATACCCGTGCTCGTGGGTTTCACCGAAGTGGTAAACGTCCGAGACCTGCATCACTTCGGGCTTTCCTCCCACATTAAGCTGGCATGCCGCGATATAACTGGAATACTGTTAAAAGCGGCGTTAAACCCAACTCACTCACTCACACTTACTCTAGATTTGTCAGCACTATACCCGTGCTCATGGGCTTCACCAAAGCGGTAAGTGACTTGAATACAGATAAAACGGCGTTAAAGCATACTCACTCACTCACTGACTCCAGACAAACTCTTACGACTTCATCACTGCGTAGCTGTATGTATGACTGACCCGCTGGGTTAACACGTCATAGAACCCTACTTCATCACACAGTATCCCGGCAATATAGACAACTATAACTAAAGGAGTTGAACCTCGTTAACTCGAGACCAATGTCGAATTATCCGTTCGGGACAAGCATTTGTTGTTCATTATTGAATAATTACCACTTTCTTATGGTGGGTAGTAAACTAATGGGATAAATATGCAAATAACGTCAATCTAGACAGGAACTATTTTATTATCCATACATTTTCGATGCTCGATAAACCATTTTGAAGGTTCCCAGAAACGTCGACACTTTTGTAAACAAATATGGCTGCAAAACCTTTGGCACTACATAATCAATGAGACGGTTAAGTCAGGCATTGTATTCATACGCGGATTCTTAAGTTTCTTCAACGTGTGGAAGTACGTCTAAAACTTTAATATATTTTTAAATAAAGTTATATAACATAAAGATTTTCATTCTCGTTTGTTGTCATATCGAAAATATCACATATCAAGAGTACAACATGTCGTACTTTATAGTATAGAAGCTATGCAGTAGTTTCAAGGTAGGTTCAGTACGAGTGAGTGAGTGAGTATGGTTTTACGCCGCTTTTAGCAATATTCCAGCAATATCACGGCGGGGGACACCAGAAATGGGCTTCACACATTGTACCCATGTCGGGAATCGAACCCGGGTCTTCAGCGTGACGAGCGAACGCTTTAACCACTAGGCTACCAGACCGCCCCTTGGTTCAGGACGAGATTGGCCTATGACCGATAGGTCAATGCAGATGTTCGCGCAAGCTGTGTGCTGACGATCTGCGAGCTGTGCCTCAACAAGCATTCTACTATAAACATCGGATTCAAGTCGAAGCCACAGGACCATGTGACCGCTGTGCAGAGTTGTGCCCCTTAGGCGTACAGGAATCGATGACCGCGGGTTCAAATCCCGATTTCACCCCGATAATTGATTCTTGTGAGCACCTTACCCTTGGTCGTGGGTTTTACGTCCCTTTGACACGTCGTTGCGTAACTGATATACCATTGAAGGCGGCGTTAAAACTAATCACTCACTCTCTAAAGAAAAGCTCACCACCACTCCTGCTCTTGAAATACACACTCCCCAGTGAAGTGAGTGAGTGAGTATGGTTTTACGCCGCTTTTAGCAATATTCCAGCAATATCACGGCGGGGGACACCAGAAATGGGCTTCACACATTGTACCCATGTCGGGAATCGAACCCGGGTCTTCGGCGTGACGAGCGAACGCTTTAACCACTAGGCTACCCAATCGCCCCCCAGTGAAGTGACCCTGTTGTTTATACAATGAGAAAGGCGTACCTTGACAGATGTTGTTTTTGTTGTTTTCATATAGTAGATGATGCGTTTCTCCCTGTCAGTCATCCGGGGATGTGACTCCGGGGAGTCGAACACGACCACCACCCACAGGACCAGCCACACACAGCCACACCCTCCTGGAGACGAGACAATAGTACACAAAGGAGATACACCTAGTGTGTTATGAAATTTGATGAAGGTACACAATTATTTTAATTTGGAACCGAGCGGTTTAGCGCGAGATAAAGGTTGGCCGGGATGGTAATGAATATCTAACACAAAAAGGTTTGTAAACAACATGTTGCCAGAAATAAAGTTTCGTCAAACACATTTTTATAATGTTATATTTTACTTTCTTTGTCGATTGTTTCAATGACGATCGAAATTGTCCTACTCTGTCTGTTCGCTTCGAACATGTCCCTAACAGTTTCATATTTTTCATTTGTATGCAAAAGATATGCCTTCTTAAAATCTTATAATCTCACCACCGAAGCAGTCAGGATTACTGCCTAGAACAACATATAGTCGCCAAAAACAACCGCTCTCAATTTACCGTATTTCCTCTATTAGACCGTCTATAAATTTCGCGAGAGCCGTTTACCCGGCATGTATTTGAGATCTGGCATGCATTTTTCACCACTATTCTGCTTTTACCCACAATGGAATTTTTTTCGGCACTAACGTGGCTATTCTCTGGCACTGACATTCTATATTTGCCTGGTATTTTCGAAATGTTAATACCATTGAATATGTTTAATGAATAAGTGGTTCATTAAATACGATTGAAATAAGATTTGTTTTGTATGTGTGAAATGAAGTTTACGTGTGACTAATTGATCTTATGCGCCAATGATTGATTCAGAGTTGCATACCTATTTATTCTAGTCATTCAACCAATCAATATCGCTCACCCATTACAATGTGTAACGCCTTCAAATGCATGACATAATTATATTATGTTAAAAGTTGAAGTTTTACAAAAAATTATCCATAGAAAATAACACTTGCATTAACAAAGACAAAATGTCACGTGGTGTCCGACCCTTACCGTATACATAGAAGATGAAGGGCCAGCCCTCGTCGAGCGGGACCCCGCAGATCATGGCGGACCCCACGGTCACTATGATGCTCCCGATGTTGACTCCTTGGGAGATAAAAAAAACATCTGTCCAACAAAGTAACAATACTAGTAGTCGTCGAAGTCGTGGGAGTAATGTTATTTTGTTAGAAGGGTAATAGTAGTAGGGGTAACAGCAGCAGTTTTGCATGTTTGTTTTTTGTTTAACGCCGCACTCAGCAATATTCCAGCTATATGACGCCGGTTTTTAAATAAGCGAGTCTCGACCAGACAATCCAGTGATTGACATCATGAGCATCGATCCACGTAACTGGGATACGATGACATGCATCAACCAACTCAGCGAGCCTGATCACCCGTTCCCGTTAGTCGCCTTAAGTGTTACGGCAAGCATAGTCGCCTTTTACGGCAAGCATGGGTTGCTGAAGACCTCTTCTACCCCGGATCTTCACGGGTCAGCAGCAGAAGTAGAAGTAGCAGTAGTAGAGGTAGGAGTAATAGTAGTAGTCGCTTGTAGTAGAGACAGTTGTCGCAGTCGTAGTCATAGTCGTAGTCTGATAACTTGTTCAATAAAATCTGGAAAAATATGGTTTACCTCGTTATTTAAAAAGTATATAAACCTTCACCTGATACATTGGATGTGCTTTGTGTTCGCCTGATATGCTGGATGTGTTGTGTGTTCGCCTAACATGTTGGGTGCTCTGTGTATTCGCCTCGTACACTGGATGTGATGTGTGTTCGCCTAACATGCTGGATGCGCTGTCTGTTCGCTTGATACGCTAGATGATCTGTGTGTTCGCCTAACATGTTGCATGCTCTGTGTGTTTACCTAACATGCTGGGTGCGCTGTGTGTTCGCCTAACATGCTGGATGCTCTGTGTGTTCGCCTAACATGCCGGATGCTCTGTGTGTTCGCCTAACAGGCTGGGTGTGCTGTGTGTTCACTTAACATGTTGGATGCTCTGTGTGTTCGCCTAACATGCTGGGTGTGCTGTATGTTCACCTAACATGTTGCATGCGCTGTATGTTCGCCTAATACGCTAGATGATGTGTGTTCGCCTAACATACTGGATGTGCTGTGTGTTCCTCTTTTATGCAGGTGTGCTGAAAGAAGTGCATCTTGAAGCAGTGGGGGGAAACCAGTCGTTGTCTCAAACAAATTTCCCGATTTTAAAATCGACTACTACTCTTATCGTAAAATAATATATTATTCAAAACATCAAATATCTTTCAACAAGCCACAAATGGAGTGAATCAAATTTTGTTTAACGCCACACTCAGCAATTCTCCAGCTTTTTGAAGGCAGTCTCTCAATCCAAGGGGGCGGTCGGGTAGCTTAGTGGTTAAAGCGTTCGCTCGTCACGCCGAAGACCCGGGTTAGATTCCCGACATGGGTACAATGTGTGAAGCTCATTTCTGGTGTCCCCCCCCCCGTGATATTGCTGGACTATTGCTAAAAGCAGCGTAAAACCAAACTCACTCACTCACTCAATCCAGGACAAGACAATCTATCTATTGATAGTATCAACAACGATCAGTCGGGACATGATGACACGCCATCAAACCAAAGTCGCCGAGCCCGACCACCCAACCCAGCCGGTCGCCTGAACCAGTGACGAGGATAGCAATGTCATGTAATGTGTAGTACGTACCCGAATTGGTGAAAGCAGCAAGCTGGGCCTTCTCCTTTATGGGAGCCCAGTGAGACCATAATACTTGTTGTGACGGCAGAACAACACCCTTTAAAGAAGTAGGACAAGCCTTCACACAACACGTCACAGATCTTTGAACTGCTGGATTTATAATGAGCATGTATTCATGTTTGGATCAAAGGTAAAACGCCCATGCCCCAGAAAAATGTCTTCAACTGGGTTTTCCTTTGTATTTTTTTGTGTTTTAAAGACAGGTAAAAAGTAATCCGTCAAATTACGATACGTTTAAGATAAACAGCATATATTGTTATTTCAATTTATTATTTCAATTGTCAACACCGTGGTTTAATTTGGCTTTCAATGTTAGAATTATTAGCAGTGTGTATAGTTGTAACAGCAGCAACAGTCTTATCACCATCAATACTGAACATATTTCATGTTATGATGGGTGCACGGGCGCAAAGACGTCTAAGGCGCCACAATTCGCAGTGCAGAGTTGCGTCCCTTTGAGACCCCAAGACACCTATGACTGTGGGTTCGAATCCCGGTTCGCCCAGATTTTTAAGTTTCTAGGTTTGTCAGCACCATACCCGTGCTCGTGAGTTTCGCCAAAGTGGCTAAGATCTGCATCACTTTGGGTTTTCCTCACACACTAAGCAGACACGCCGTGATATAACGAGAATACTGTTAAAATTGACGTTAAAACCAACTCACTTACTCACGCACTGATTCCAAGCCTGAACGTACCGACGCAAAACCCAGGGTGACCCTAAGTGACACGGCCAGGTAGAAGTTGACCCGGAACGCCATTGGCAGCAAAAGCGTGATGAGGGAACACGTGATCAGAGATAAACCAATCATTTTCTTCGGTCCAAACCTTGCTGCCAGAAACCCGCCTACAAAGGGCGTGGTTAGGTAACCATAGTAATAACTTGAAAATAATACGCCCTCCAGGTCTCGGGAAAAGTAGGGGTTGGTTTTCTGTAAAATGAATAAAAAGGTGAAAGCACATATTGCCATGTATTCCCGGCCACAAGTGTACACAATGCTGTTTTGTTGCCATAGTAACAATAGCAGGGTTATGTACAAAAGTTTGCCGCTGACACTGTGTGGCGCCAGGTTACATTCAAATAATGGGTATGAATTATATGCAGCAGAAAAAACCTCATACTTAAACCTAATAATGTAACCGATGAGACGGAATACGCTGAACACCCGGCGTTATTACTGTATCTTTACTGTAACTTGAGTGCAGGTCCTTGAATGTGCTGACCGCCTCCGTGGTCTTGTGATAGAGCGTCCGCCCGGAGAGCGGAAGGTCCGGGGTTCGATCCCCGACCGCGTCATACAAAAAGACGTTAGAAAAAAGAAAAAAGATTGTACTTGTTGTTACCCTGTCTGGCGCTCGGCATTAAGGGGCTAAAACAAGGACTGGTCGGCTCGGAGTCAGTATACTGTGTCTGAGTGGGGTATTCATGTTAAACTGCGGCATGGTATCTCAGTGAGCTAGCACTATAAATCGGCATCAGTCATAGTACAAGCAGCCACACACACACATACACGTGCATGCACGTCGCTATATAAGTGCAATAATCTTGGACGCGACGTTAAACCCAATTTCACCTCACCTCACCTTGAATGTGCTTCCCTGTCTTCTTATGTGAGTGAGTGAGTATTGTTTTAGGCCGTTTTTAACAATATTCCATCAAAATCACGGCGGGGGACACCAGAAATAGGCTTTACACATAGTACCTATGTGGGTAATGGACCTCGTGTCGAGCGAGCACTTTAACCACTGGGCTACCCCACCGCCCCCTTTTTTGGAGGTGAAGTAACGTTAAATGGGGTTTAACGTCGCGTCCAAGATTATTGCTCTTATATAGCGACGTGTATGCATGTGTGTACAAGTCTTTACAAGTCCTGTGTTTCATGTTGTTTGTGTTGTTCTTTGTTAAAAAGCCACACTAGCAGTACTACTGCTACATGACGGGAGCCTGTATGTAATCGAGTCTAGACCAGACAATCCAGTGATCGAGATTGTGAGCAACGATTACGACCACCATCCCCACGATGTCTAGGTCGGATGTAAAAGCGCTAGCCAACTGGGATACCACGCCTCGGTATAACATGGATACCCTTCCCAGACACCGAGCCGACCTGTCCCTGCTATTTCCCAGCGCCAGGAAGGGTACCAGGAAGTATCATCGTTTGACGCGGCCAGGGTATCGAAACACCAACCTTCCGCAATCGGGGCAGGCGCTCTATCCACTGCGGCACGGAGATGATCTTTCGTTTTGACGATGGACACGTGGGAAATGACATGTATAAGTGTGTGTTGAGGGGGGGTAAATGATTGTGTATGTCAATTGCAGTGAAAATATGTTAGACCCGTCTTCCAGGCGATTCCTGATGGGAACGTCACCTTAAATGCCTTTGTGAATCTTGTAGTTGGTTAATCAAGACTATTACCCACGGGACGTTACCTTCAGGAACAGCGGGTTTCACTGTATAATAATAATAATAAGAAGAAGAAGAATCTCGTGGGAGGTCAGGCCTGTACGAAATTAGGGATGCAGATTAGGGACAAACTCCTGAATTGCCATATCAAGGGCAAATTTCGGGTAGAGTACAAATGTAGACTTAAGAAAATCTGGAGTTCAGAGCTGAACGCTCGCAATAAAGTCAAAGCCACAAATACTTATGCTGTGCACGTCCTTTCATATTCTTTTGGTGTTGTTCATTGGACGAAACAAGACATTCACGGTATTGACCCTTTCACACGAAGAATCATGTCAGACAATAGATCCCACCACCCTCGCTCTACCCTCAATCGCTTATACGAGGGGTGTTTCCCCTGACCCACTTCCGATGGACCTAGTGGAATGAAACTTGGCATAGGTATTGGTCTTTCTCCACATAGGGACCACCAAGTTACACACATCTCCCATCGTTTTATGCAACTATGGAGACCTCGCTAGTAAAAACCCTCATTTTGCGTCTCAAACCAGGACTTGACTTCAGTAATCAGTGTTTCATCATCTGTGAAACGTTTTCCCTTCAAAAATGACTTCATGGTTGGAAAGAGGTTGAAGACAGATGGTGCAAGGTCAGGAGAGTAAGGAGTATGTGGAAGGATTTCATAGCCACAGGACCGCGCTTCTGTCTGGGCAACATGAGAGTTGTGTCCTGGAGCATTGTCTTGCAGGAGACGGACACCCTTGGTCAGCATGCCACGCCTCTTAAGCTTGATAGCGTCCCGCAATTTCCGCAGCAGTGAAGCATAATAAGTTCCTGTAATTGTGGTACCCTTTGCCAAGAAATCCATCATCATTATTCCGTGCTGGTCCCAAAACACCGTGAGCATGACCTTGCCTGCAGAGGGTTGGACACGTGCCTTCTTTTGGGGTGGTGACTGAACTTTAGTCTCAGGATCATAGTGATGGACCCATGTTTCATCCTGTGTGATAAGTCTGTCAAAAAAGTTGTCTGTTTTTTTGCGGCAAATGTCCAAAAGATCCTTTGAGCAATTGACTCGTTCCTGCTTTTGGAAAGGTGTGAGCAACCTGGGAATCCATCGTGCAGACACCTTATGCATGTTCAAATTGTCATGGATGATTTGTTTCCACAACACCCTACACTGATCTTGACATCTTGTGCTAACTGGCGATCAGTTTTACGTCGGTCTGCCAAAATGGCGGTCTCCACTTGATGGATAGTGTCCTCATCAATGGCTGAATGGGGGCGACCAGGAATGGCAGCTGTTTCCACAGATGTCCGACCACACTTGAACTGGCGATGCCAGTGTTTAACAACGTCATATGGTGGGGCATCTTCCACATAAGTTGCTTTCATTTCATCGAAAGTTTCTTTTGGTGTGCGACCTTTCGAATATAAAAACCTAATCACTGCTCGGTATTCTACTGGCTCCATTGTCACACCCTACTCGATCATAACACCTGTAAAAGTGGTAAGATTAATAGTTCGGTGCTGCAAATTCAGACATAACCCATAGATACATGTATCATTACACATGTGAAATTTCAACCAGATATGATAACCCTAAGTGGTTTAGGGGAAATCTTTAATGAACACCCCTCGTATTTATCAACCCTTATGGGAGGGGTGGTTTCATTAACGTTTGGGCTCTTCATGATAGAATTGTTTTGTGCACTTCTGCACACATTAACTTTTCGTGATGATCTTCTTGTGAAGCATGTCAAGACTCATGATGAAAATAAGGCATTCCACAGTTTTCTTAAACGAGCCAAGGATTTGGCACATAATCTCAATGTCAGTGTTGATTTTGTAGAAGGTTCTGTACTGCTGGACGGTACAGTAATGAGTACCAACCAAGCGAAGTGCCATATCCAATCGGCACAGACTCAGTTTTTCAAGGAGAGGCTATCTGAACGACAATTGCATCGAGTTTATGTGCAGTGTGTTGAGAAGGTCAGCAGCCCTGCAGAGTCCTCCGCTGGCCTGAAAAGTGAAACAGAAGATTTCTGTTTTCTGCTCAGGACCAGTCACTTCCAACTCGAAACCGTCAATGCGTGATTTTGCATCAAAATGTAAATATGAAATGTAGATTATGTAATGAATTTAATGAGACTGTCCAACACATTGTCAGTGGATGCCCCGCTTTGGCACAAACACAGTATCTTAAGCGACATGATGCTGTAGCTCAATCATGTTATTACCGTCCTCGCAATGCTTGTGGTTTTGACACAGAGGTCCATCCATGGTACGAGCCAGAATATGTAAAGGGCGTCATTGAAAATAATAAATACAACATTCTTTGGAATAGGCCCGTATACAGCCTCAGACGTATCCAGGCCAACAAACCTGATCTTGTCCTTTTTGATAAATCCAATGAAATCATTTATATCATTGAATGTTCTGTCCCTTTCGACACTAATGTGATTGACAAGATTGAGGAAAAACATGGCAAACATGCGGACCTCGCTTTCGAAATCTCACGCTTGCATCCCAAGTACCAAGTTGTCCGACTCCCCATTGTTCTCGGTGCCTTAGGTTTGGTACCTCCCTATCTGTTGACTGACATTGGGAGAGTACCCGGGTTTGATACCAGGAATACAGCCCTTCTGACAATCTGTGTAATGCAGAAGGCTGCACTGTTTGGGAGATTCCACATTCTCCGAAAAATTGGGTTTGACTGGGCAGCGCTTCCTGGGAGAAGTCCCATTCGGTGTCTGGGCTGCGTGTAGAGGGGAGGGGGTAAGGGCCCTGTGGTGATGAGCTTAACCAGCCTGACTGTGCCAGGATCACCCAAACCCTCTTTGATGCATTTTTCATTTTAATCTGTACCAAATAATAAAATAATAATGCTACAAAACCCTTTCCATATCCAATAGAAATCTCTGCATAAAGGGCCATGAGCTGGTGATGACCCTAACCAGCCTGACTGTGCCAGGATCACCCAAACCCTCTTTGATGCATTTTTCATTTTAATCTGTACAAAATAATAATGATAATGCTACAAAACCCTTTCCATATCCAATAGAAATCTCTGCATAAACCAGAGTCGGTTGTACAATTCCGACTTTATCATGAGCAAGTGTTTATGAATCACTATCAAATAATGATAATTCCAGGTGTTCGCGAAAAAGGGAGTGTTTCCTGTGCCACCGGTGGCATCCGTCACAAACACCTGCAAAGGCAAGTCAACTCTTCAAATCTATATGGTAAGGATGACCAATGTAAGATGTTACTTACGTACATGCTGGAGGGGGTTGTAGGGCGGTCAGTGAGGTTTCCACCCGATATATTCTGCGACAGAGTAATGTAGCCGTACCCTGCTGTAACGTTGGCAAACCCTGTCGACGTTGTTGTGTTGATTGTAGAATTTGCAACATCGCCGACATCCACCTCCATGCACACTACTGCCATACTGAGACAGTGACGTAACGTTATCAGCAGGACTGACGCCATGGCACTCATGTAAGCAATGGCCCATCGACAGGACGTGAACTTTGACACGAGCGTGTCGTCAGGTGGAGGTAACTCTTCCTTTTCCTGTTGCAGCCATGATGATTTTTCATTATCCTCTTCAATCTCGCCTTGAAACAATGAAAGAACACTGGTAGGCTTAGTCTTATTTGAAATAAAATCTTGCGTCAAAGATATCTATATTTGTAGTACTTGTGCTTTAAAATGTCACTTTAAATACGTACGTTATATACGTTTTATGATGAAATGGAGGGTTGGCAAATCATTTCAGTTCCGGTCAGGCTTCTTCTCTTTTAAGAGTGAGTGAGTGAGTGAGTTAAAGTTTAACGTCACATCAGCAATATTTCAGCCATATCGTGACGAAACAAAATTTGATATGAACAATATATATTAAACTGTTTAAAATTCTGCTGACAAAGAGCAGTATAATAACTAGAACATCACAGACATTCGTAAAACTAGTTTGAGAACAAGTAAAAATAGATAACTAACTAATCATTTAACAACACATTATAGAAACAGGCTATAGATCGCCACCAACTGAAGGTTGATCACCGCGCTGGTCTCTTTTAAGAATGCTAACAAAATAATTCAATGATGTATTATATCATTACTCTTAACTCCGAAAACTGTCAATCACGATTTCACCGGGAATAGCTGGGCCTGAATTTACCAAGTTACATTATATAATAGATTGTTTTGAATCGAACACTATGCTCGTAGACTGCAAAAATTGTATTTAATGACTTTTCAAAATATAATTGTACCCTGTTATCTCGAGATCCGTCATCTCCAAAGTACCCATATCTCGAACCTATTCTCCGGTCTCACTGTGTAAATATATATAATTGTGATCGCTTATCTCGAATTCGAGATAAAAAGACATAGTGCTATCTCAAACAAACCTTTGACTTTACTATAGAATTATATACTATATAATCTCGAAGTTGGCATTTGCCACATAAATAGCTTAAGAAAAGCGTATAAACATCCTACATAGCGGTGAGTTGTTATCCTCCTAGGCACAGACTGTGGAATCTGGAATGAAGTCACATCCAGAGATCACTTGCAACATTGTCTAATTGAGGGACTGGCCATTCATTATAGAGGTGGGTGGGATGGGGTGGTGAGATTGGTCCTAGGACTGTATCATACTTCCCCACCCCCCACTACCCCACCCCACCATTTTATGTAATATTGTTTCATGGCCTCTCCCAATATATTTAACTTTTTTATGCCACATCCTTCAATATATGACCAGTACCTGAATAATGCGAGTTGATACATGGTTAATATTGTGGTTTATGCTGACAGCCTAATTTGATACAAAAGAAAAGTCTGTGCGTATAATACACGACAGATATATTTTCCAGAATTTAAATGCCCATAATTAATGGTGCATATAACACACGAGTGCGTATTATACACGAATAAATAAGTCAAGAGAATCACGAGTGTCAGTGCTAAACGTCCATGATTTGGATTTTCTTCCCATGACTCTTCGTGATATAACTCAACTATTCCAAAAAAGCTTCATTGAACCAAACTCACTCACTCACTCACTCACTCACTCACTCACGTATACTCTCTGTCTAACATACCATGTCCGTCACCTTCAACGCGCCTTCCTGGTTCAATCTCCATGTTAAACTTCACTTTCTTCTCAAGTCCATCCTGCTTCACCGTCCGTTCCGACAACCACACAACTACTACACCGTCCACGACCTCCGTACACACGGCCCATGTGCACGAACAACAACGTTTCCTATAAGCGGTGTGTGGTGACACGACAACGTGTTCAGATACAATTAAACCATATATTGTCTAAGATACTATTATAACTAGAATTAAGACGTTTCCGTGAATTGAAGCTTAACAGTTGAGGTTGTAATCGTCTTATACGACTGCGGTGTATTTACTGTCGTCTTGGTGTTTTCCCCTGCGTGATATTCTGAGGCTTTTTCCACTTATGTAAATAAAACATCTAGGTCATGACCTAGACTCGGGGAGGCGTTTCATCTCAATGTTAAAGGTCACGACAACTACAATAAGTTGTGTAGGACTGGTATTTTGGGTGAAATAGTGTTGAGACGCCTTAAGAGAGAATCCTGCTCGGGTTATTAGACAGTCACAATATATTTGGTTTATCAATATCTTAAGATGTGTATCAGTCTAATTATTTAAGGATTGACTTTGGATTATTTTCGGTTCATTGAGGTATGAATTGAAAAACCATGTACAAACTGTATGAATCTACGTAGCAGTGTAATAGTCGCAATTTACCAATTTCTAATTATAGATGGACGTCCCTAAAAGACTCCTACTGAAAGCGGAGTTTCCAGACTAACGGGGTACCGACTTATGTGATTTCAGTGTACATGTAATGTGTGTTGTCTATACTTGAGCTGACTTGACATTAAACCAGGCTAATGTCAAAATCGAGAACGTCTGTCATGCACAGAGAGACGTCTGGCTGGAGGCTCAGCTAGAGTGAGTGAGTGAGTGAGTGAGTGAGTGAGTGAGTTGCCACGAATAACATCCCTGGAATGGGTCCCAAATATAGTGCAAACTTAGGAAACGACCCCGACCTTTGACTTCACAAGGGAATGTTTTAACCGCTGGGTTTCTACAAGGCCTCAAAGATAACAGAAAGATCGTGTCGCTTGATTATTTCACGCTGTCTGAAAAACGTCTTAATAGATAAAAAAATGTATCCCATGATATTTAACAAGATCTGGCACACAATAATAACAGCATCGCATTACTTGTGTTGTCATTTAAGATTTTTCATAACAAGCCGAAACGTTACCTTAATTGCTGGCCCAATAGATTCCCCTCGAAATTTTGAATTACGTTCTGGCGAACAGTACCCGAACAGGAGCCGCAAAAGTAGCCACAGCAATATTTCAGTTATATGATGGCGGTCTGTAAATAATCGAGTCTAAACCAGACAATCCAGTGATTGACATCATGAGCATCGAACCATGCACTTTGGATCGTGGACATGCATCATCCAAGTTAGCGAGCATGACCACCCAATCCCGTTAGTCGCCTCTTACGACAAGCATTGTCGCCTTTTATGGCAAGCATAGGTTTTGAAGACGGGCGCTATCAATATCTAATAAAGCAATAATCTATTTTAATCAGGATCCAGTCGCGACTGTATATTCCTTTTAATCATTATGGCTTCACTACCCGTGTGCTTCATTACCTGTCTGCTATTTGTTATTTTTACTGTAGATTTAGCTTCATCAAATTATAATTAAATATTCTTTGTGGTCATCGAAATTCCTGCTTTCTGATTAGCTGAATTGGTCACGTGTCTTGCATTCATTTCCCAATGAATGTAAACAATTCAGCCACGCCCACCGAGGCGGACTACATTGATTACTACGGAGTTTCGGGGAATCCCAATACTACAGTCGAGGGAATTTCTGCTCACGTGTATCGTCATGCACAGGACAGTTTGCATATTCATTGTCCAAACAACCCTTTGAGACCGAAAGCCGAGAAAGAATGAAACAGCAAACGTTCAGGTTCGCTCGCCTGTTTTTTTCCCGCTAGCCTCGGTTCCATAACTTTCATGTCTTCGTGTTTCATTTCTAACTTGCATTTTTCTAACTATTTCTTCCCGTTCTCAGGGAACCAATGTTTGAATCTGGCGGTAACTGACCATGTCATTTGAAGCAGCCGCCTTCCCCGGACATATTTGTTCCGGTTCGTTACAGTCTGTCTGTTGCAGTTCTTCTCGCCTCTTGCCTTGATTGCCTATGAACATTGTTTTGATCTTATTCTCCGTTGATTGGCTACTGACTTTGTGGGCGTGTCAAGTTATGTGCATAAATTAAAAGATCACCTGATTAATGTCACGCCACAGTATGTATTCCTACACCTGAAATGTTTATCAATCTGCTTGACAACTGTTTTTTTAGGTAAACTATTGTAGATAAAACATTTTTTTCATTGTCGAATTTAATTATAAGCATTGAGTGTGTATTTTGGGGGGTTTATAGAGGTATGAATTGAAAAACCAATACGCGAACTTTTGTTAGAATCAGCTACGCGGATTTTTACATTTTACACATCGGTTTTTCGATTCATTCCTATATTTACGTGTTGTCTATTAACGTTGCTGTCAATGTTAATCTGACGCTCATCACAACATGTCATACATTTATACCTGTCATCACTTGGTAGTTGTCATTAAAGCTTGATAACGGTGTACGAATCTACATCGAAAAGTCGCTCTATCCAGCAAAACAGAAGTTGTTATCCATACAGTTTTAGATTTTTCTTATTTATTTGCCAACTTATAGAGTGCCAATCAACCATTTAATGGATTCTCTGTATTTTAAATGTTGTTCAGGCCTTTTGAAAGACAGCATTGACCAAATCTCTTGAAATATTTTATAAACATTGAAAGGGTTACATTGGCTATTCAACTGTGTTAAAATAATCATCATCGTGTCACGCATGCGCGTGCGGGAACGTCCTAATAGAGGCCTCTGGCGTCAATTTGGACACCTTCAAACGGTTGCATTTCCCTAACGACCCCTAATAGGTGTTTCGGATTTTGTATCACAAGTCTTAGAATTTGGAGAGCTTTCCAAAGAGCCATCACGTACAAAAATCGCTTGATATTTGAGAAAAGTGTGTTTTTCACCTCTCCAGCAAAAGTTCATCCAAGTGAGCAAACAGAAAACACATTGGTCTACTTTGTGTGTTTTAGAAACGTGCCAATTTTCGTTTTGGGCGTAAATGTGTATGCCTTTAGAAGCACTTTGCATTGACCAAATCTCTTGAAATCTTTTGGAAACACTGAAAGGGTTACGTTGGCTACCGAACTATGTAAAAATAACACCCTAACTGGGTGCGTCTGACGTCAAATTTGACACATTCAAACGGTTGTATTTCCCTAGCGACCCCTTATAGGTGTGTCCTACCGGTACTTCCGTTATATGTCGGCGAGTCCCATTAACGATATCTCCATTACATGACGACGTGTCGCTTTAATGAGTGAGTGAGTGAGTGAGTGAGTGTCAGCTTAATGTTGGAGGAAAGCCCGAAGTGATGCAGGTCTCTGACGTTTACCACTTCGGTGAAACCCACAAGCACGGGTATGTTGCTGACAAACCTAGAAACATGATCGGGGCGAACCGGTATTCGAACTCACAATCATAGGTTTCTGGCGTGCCCAAGGGACGCAACTCTGCAAAGCGAATCGCGGCGCCTTAGACGACGAGAGCCCATGTATTACACGCATGTATTAGACGCTGATCACTTTGGGTAACCAACAAGCACGGATATGGTGCTGATACAAAAAGAATCATTATCGGAACGATTCTGTGATTCGAACCCGCTATCCGAGGATTCCTGGACGACGGAGCGATTAATTCTGTACAGCGAACAGCTCGCGACGCCTCAGACACGCTGCCCGTGTCATGTATAAAGTTCCGCACCAAGATGGCATAGTTTGCAGATCAGGGGACATTATAGAATATCTGCAGATATTTCTGCACACAACAGAAAACACATCTTCCCGAGGCAAGGGAGTTAACTGACTTTAAAAGTCCAGTTTCCACCCTTGCCGAACCGGGCTTGAATTCCTTGGCTCGATCGAAGCGCCACTAGGGGCTGTTACGAGTTAAGTCCCTTCTATGCCTCTCCTATGGACCAATCAAATTCCGCCTCTCGTATCACTTGCATTTGTTTCAAATAAAATGGCGGCGCCCAGTTAAGACGATCTGATCGATAATCAAGATCTATATTGTGATAGAACGGGGTTAACATCGTGAGGTGCATCAAATCACGTGAGCACCTTGATTAAAATCTTGAAAAGTTTTGGAAAATATCTGTTGACAACGAGGTGGCGGTGCACATGCTGTGCAAATCCCGCAATCGACCGAAATCTGCATTACAGTTTACGAACCGGATTTCGATTTCGGTGCGCGATTTTGATTGGACTATGCATAGACTCGTCAGTCCAGCCAAAATCTAACTTCATAATACCAGCCTAGTTCGGCAAGGGTGGAAACTGAACTTTTATAGTCAGTTAACTCTCTTGCCTCGGGAAGCTGCAGAAAACATGGCTTTGTGTACAAAACAGTGTCTCATTAACAAGACTAACTGACATTTTGCCGATTTAACGAATCAATTGAATGTTTTACTATGGTTCATAGTTCAAAGTTGTAGCTAATATTGGTCTGAGGGGGCAATACAAATGTTATGTAATGCAAGACCTCCATAATCTCAATGCCATTGTAGGCTACCACTTGTGGGGATTAGGCACTTTAGTTCTTTTATGAGAGCTTCATTTAAGTTCTCTACTTTCTTTGGTTTGTCTTGGTTTATCATCCGGGTTTTAGTCAGTGCATAGACATTAGACAAGCACGTGGATGTTAACAGAATATGAAATGAACTTGTGTAGGGTGAAAAGGGCCCATAAAATTTGTAAGTATTAACAAAATATATAAGTACAACATGTCAATCATAACTAGCAATGCTATTACAAATGTAAATGGTGTAAAAGGATAAATTGCATATTGAAAAGGTTGAAGTGTGTATCACAGATTTTTCGTTTAAAATCCGGAAAATAATGTTGGTAATAACATGTACTTACTACCTTAGTTACAAGTTGTAATATTTCACATTTGTTTTTATTATAGCTTGTACCTGTCAACAATAGGCCATACAATTAAAGGGCCAGTAAAGGAATTTGAAGGAAAGACATAATACGAAGTACCGGTCACAATGTTTGTTGTTGGTATGTTGTTTAACGCCGCTCTTAGCAATATTCCAGCTATATGACGGCGGTCTGTAAATAATCGAGTCTGGATCAGACAATCCAGTGATTGACATCATTGAAACGATC